CGTGATGTACCCAGTGCACGTTCACACCTCGGCCACAACTGGTTCACAACTGGTTGATGACAGGACGTTGAGAAGGTTATGGATGTTAAACTTTTGTATCTCCCTGCAGGTTTACATCAAGATTCTTTCTTCTCGTTCCTGTCCCCACCCTCGGTAAGTACAGCGTTGTTGAGATGTCCTGTCTACTCCCAACCCCACGCTCAGTGACGATAGCCATGTTCCCCTTTCTGCCATTGATCTTTAGAACCTATCTCTGCACCCTCCTGGGAGTGGGAGGAGGCCATTCAGCCCATCCCCACCTTCACTCAGACCATGGTTGACCTATTGTATCTACCCGTCTTGGTTTTCCAACCCTTAATCTTCTCACCCAGAGGAAGTCTATTCAGATGACAGATGGAGTTCAATCCAGGGAAGTGTGAGGGGCTGCACTTTGGGAGATCAAATGGTAAGGAAAAGTATACAGGACCCTGAACAGCACTGATGTACAGAGGGATCTTGGGGTTCAAGTCCATAGCTCCCTGAAAGTGGCCACACCAGTAGATTGGGTGGTAAAGAAGGTGCATGGCATGCTTGCCTTTATTTGTTGGGGCATGAGGCCAAGGGCCAGGATGTCACGTTGAGATAGTATGAACTGCAGATGCCATTGGTCTCAATGTGGACTTTACTAGTTTCAAAATCTCCCCACCCCCGGCCTCATCCCATGGCCAACCCTCCCTCTCATCCTCACCACCTTGACCTGTCTGTCTTCTCTCCCACCTATCCGTTCCTCCCACCTCACTGAGCAATCCCCACCACTGCCTACCTGCACTCACCTATCACCATTCCACCTACCTTCCCCAGCCTGACCCCTCCCCTCTCTATTTCAGAGCTGCCTTCCCCTCCCCCATTTCTGAAGAAGGGTCCCGACCTGAAACGTCAGCTTTCCTGCTCCTCTGATGCTGCCTGGCCCACTGTGTTCCCCCCAGCTCCACATTGTGTAATCTCAGACTCTAGCATCGGCAGGTCTTACTATCACAGCTTTATAAGACTTTGGTTGGGCCACACTGTGAGAGTATTGTGTTCAGTTCTGATCACCACCTTTCAGTGAGGATGTGGAGGCTTTGGAGAGAGGGTGCAGAAGGGGTTTACTCGGGCTGCCTGGATTAGAGGGTAGGAGCTATAAGGAGATGCTAGAAAAACTCAGGTTGTTTTCTCTGGAGTGGTGGAGGCTGAGGGGAGACTTGATAGAAATCTATAAAATTATGAGAGGCATAGATAGGGTTGACAGTCAGAATCTTTTTCCCAGCCTTGAAATATCTAATATAGGGGGGATTTAAAGGTGAGAGCGGGAAAGTTCACAGGAGATATGAGGGGCACATTTTTTTTAAACAGAGAGTGGTAAGAGTCTGGAATGCGTTGCCAGGGGATGGTGGCGGCAGCAGATATGATAGGGGCATTTAAGGGGCTTTTAGATGAGCACATGAATATGCAAGGAATGGAGGGATATGGAACTAGGGCAGGCAGAAGGGATTCACTTAATTTAGCAGCATCAACTTCATGGGCTGAAGGGCCATTCCTGTGCTGTGCAGTTTTATGTCCTGTCTCCGTCCTGACCTTCAATAGATCTCCGAGCCTTGACAGCCTTATTCAGGGGCGGGTTCCAGATTCCCAGTCCCACTGTGTGAGGAATTGCTTGCCCGCTTCATTTCTGAACAGGCCTGGCTCATATGTGAAGGTTCTGCCCCCAGTTCTGGACACCCCCCCCCCCCCCCCCTTCCCCCCCCCCCCCCCAGCAGAGGAAAAACCTTCTCCTATTAGAGATCCTGACTTCGCAACCCTTTGATCATTCTGGGGAACTTGCACTCCTGCCAAGGCCAGTAGACCTCTCCTACTGTGTGGATGCTCTGAACTTGTTGGTGGCACGGTGGCTCAGTGGTTAGCGCTGCTGCCTCATGGCGCCACGGACCCGGGTTCAATCCCACCCTCGGGCGACTGTCTGTATGGAGTTTGCACATTCTCCCCGTGTCTGTGTGGATTTCCTCCGGGTGCTCCGGTTTCCTCCCACAGTCCAAAGATGTGCAGGTTAGAGTGGATTGGCCGTGCTAAATTGCCCCATAGTGTCCAGGGATGTGCAGGTTAGGGTGGATTAGCCGTGCTAAATTGCCCCATAGTGCCCAGGGATGTGCAGGTTAGGGTGGATTAACCATGGGAAATGCAGGGATACAGGGATTAGAGGGAGGTAGTTCTGGTTGGGATGCTCTTCAGAGGGTTGGTGTGGACTCGATGGGCTGAAAGGCCTGCTTCCACACTGCAGGGATTGCATGAACTGAACTCCAGATGGCGTCTCGGCCTTCTTCAGAGGATGGCGCTGGGGAAGGAGCAACCCTTGGATTCCAGCATGACTCAGTGTGGTCTAAGGTGCTGGAGCTATCTCGTTGATTTCATTCCGACACTCTGCTGCCTGATTCAGGACAGGTCTTGTTTGCCCCATTGCTGCATCTGATTGTTGAGTTGTATTAGTTCTTTGTCCAGCAAAACAGCCTCATCCTTGTTATCAAGTCCACTCCTGGTCCCCTTGGGAATTCCTTGCCCAGAAACATAGAGAATGGGAGCAGAGGTAGGCCATCCAGCCCTTTTGAGCCTGCTCCGCCATTCAATCGGAACGTGGCGAATCGTCCAAATCCCTCATCTCTCTCTCGCTTTCCTTCGTAAGATGCTTCTTAAAATCTACCTGGAGGTTGTAGTCCTAATCTGCTCTTCCTGTGACTCGAGGTCGAATCTTGTCGAGCGGCGGTACTCAAATGAAAGTTGTTGTTGTTGTCTTCTGACAGTTGGAGTTGCTGGATGTCTCCGCCATCTCACGGCTCTCTCCAGACAGCAGGAAATCTCCAGGACATGGGGAGCCTCAGTCCGAGAGTCCGTCTTTCCGAAGCAGGGAGGCGTCGGATGTGAGTACAGGCAGCGGTGGTAGTGAGGAGGGTGTAGGGGGAAGAGCCTGTGATTACCCCCCACTTCTCCCCCACTCCACCCCGGGGACCAGGGCCTCTGACCGATGGCCCCGTCGTCACCCGGCATTCCTCGGACTGTCTCCCATCTCCACATGGCTCCGGCTCCATGTCGGGATTCTCGTTGACCGAGACTGGCCTCTGTGTGTGTGTGTGTGTGTGTGTGAGTGTGTGTGTGTGAGTGTGTCAGGCCTTTGTGATTCATTCCTGCCAATGTGGGCAAGGCCTGGCGTCTAACGCCCATCCCTTTGGGAAGATGGCAAGGGGAGGGGAGTTCCAAGATGTTAAACCAGCCTCAACAAAGGACAACGCTCCCAAATCGAGATGGAGGGTGTGGGTTGGGAGGGAAACCTTTAAGGGCCTGTGCTTCCATTCACTTCCTGCCCTTGTTGTTCTTGGTGGTAGCGGTTCTAGGTTGGAATTGAATTAGATTTTATTCTCACGCATGCTGAAGTACGGTGAAAAGTGTACATTGTCACCAAGCCCAGCACCATCTTAGGTAGAAAGTAGAAAAATAAGGAAGTAAAGTTTAAAAATTCAACATTAAAGTCCTTCTTGGTAGAAAAATTAAAAAAAAAATTAAGAATTTCAACATGACAGTTCCTTCTTTAATGCTTAGCCATTTTGGGCTCGCCTCACTCTCCACAAGGGTTCGATCTCCTCCACACTGGGCTGACTGGCGCGCCCTCGCTCTCTCTCCCCCCCCCCCCCCCCCCCCCCGCCCTCCCCCTCCCGCTCTCCCCCCTCGTCCCCCTGCACGCGCCCTGACTCCCTGCAGCGACTTGGGGTTGGTCTATATGCAATGCAGGGGGCTGTGCCCTCCACAAAATGGAGACAAATCCAAGGTCAGCGAGAGACCACTGTGCAGCAACGTCATCAACGGTGCTGTAATTAACAGCAACGACCTCCTCCCTCACCCCCATCCCAGGCCCCAAGAAGACTTTCCACATCAAGCAGATGTTCACCTGCACATCTGCCAATGTGGTATACTGCATCCGCTGTACCCGGTGTGGCTTCCTCTACATCGGGGAAACCAAGCGGAGGCTCGGGGACCGCTTTGCAGAACACCTACGCTCGGTTCGCAATAAACAACTGCACCTCCCAGTCGCGAACCATTTCAACTCCCCCTCCCATTCCGCAGACGACGTGTCCATCCTGGGCCTCCTGCAGTGCCACAGCGATGCCACCCAAAGGTTGCAGGAACAGCAAATCATATTCCGCTTGGGAACCCTGCAGCCCAATGGTATCAATGTGGATTTCACAAGTTTCAAAATCTCCCCTCCCCCTACCGCATCCCAAAACCAGTCCAGCTCGTCCCTGCCTCCCTAAACTGTTCTTCCTCCCACCTATCCCCTCCTCCCACCTCAAGCCGCACCTCCATCTCCTACCGACCAACCTCAACCCGCCCCCTTGACCTGTCCGTCCTCCCTGGACTGACCTATCCCCTTCCTAACTCCCCACCTACACTCACCTTTACTGGCTCCATCCCCACCTCTTGACCTGTTTGTTTCCTCTCCACCTATCCTCTCCTCTATCCCTCTTCTATCCGCCTCCCCCTCTCTCCCTATTTATTTCGGAACCCCCTTCCCCTCCCCCTTTTCTGATGAAGGGTCTAGGCCCGAAACGTCAGCCTCTCTGCTCCTATGATGCTGCTTGGCCTGCTGTGTTCATCCAGCCCTGCACCTTGTTGTCTCTGCCTCCTGCTGTTCTTTTTGGGGTTCTGTTAGGGCCACACAGCTCCAGACCTCACTGCTGCCACTACTAAGGGGTGAGTAGGATGCCCGCATCCCTGAGAACGGACAAAACCAGATTTTTGGGCAGCTTTCTTTCTTTGTGGTGGGTACAGCCTCGGCCAGGGCTTCTAAACGCTTATTGGTGCCTCGTTCTCTCTGTCACAGTCGAATGCGAAGCCCGGGTCTCCTCGAAAGGTACTGAAGAAGCCTACGTCTCCCCCTCCAGTCACTCCTCACGTGCCCAAGGTAAGGAGTCACCAAAACAGGGCAAAGGCCTGGAAACTATTCCAAAAGGGGCAGCTGGGTAAGCGTATGAGGGAGAATGCGACATCTCAAGGGGCTCCAACAGTTTTTATAAATGACTTGGACGAAGGTACCAAACAATTGGTTGCTAAGTGTCACAAAGGCAGAGGGGAAAATAGGTTTGAAGAGGACGTAAAGAGGCTCCAAAGGGATGTAGGTAGGGTCAGTCAGTGGGAGAAAGAGGATATGGTGTGAAATTGACCATTTTGGTAGGAAGAATTTTTTTTTTTTTTTTTGAAAAGTGTGCTATCGAATTGCAGAAAGATTGCAGAACTTTGTGATCCACCAGGATCTGAGTGTCCTCATCATAAAAGTCAGAAGCCACACGACACCAGGTTATAGCCCAACAGGTTTATTTGAAATCACGAGCTTTCGGAGCGCTGCTGCTTCGTCACTTCAAGAGAGAAATAGTTATCTTCATCTCTGTCTTAACCCTTGAGTTTTAAACATTGATTCCCTAGTTCCAGATTCCCCTCTCAAGAGGAAACCTCCTCCTCATCCAACCAGTCAAAGCACCTCAGGACCTTGTGTCCCAACCATGGTGTGTCTCCCGCTCCACTTCACCCAACGAAGGGGCAGCGTTTCGAAAGCTTGTGATTTCAAATAAACCTGGTGCCGTGTGGCTTCTGACCTTGTCCACCCCAGTCCAACACCGGCACCTCCACATCATGTAAATCGTAGAAGTTTTGTACGCAGGTAATTAGGAAAGTTAATAATGTGTTACTATTTATTGGGAAGGGAATTGAAAAGTAAGAAGGTTATGCTTCAGTTATACAGGCACTGATCGTCGAATCCATACAGTATGGGAGCAGGCCATTTGGCCCATTTTGTCCATCCCTACCCCTATCCCTGCATTTCCCATGGCCAATCCACCCTAACCTGCACATCCCTGGGCACTATGGGGTAATTTAGCACGGCCAATTCACCCTAACCTACACATCCCTGGGCACTATGGGGCAATTTAGCATGGCCAATCCACCTTAACCTGCACATCTTTGGACTGGGAGAGGAAACGCACAGACACGGGGAGAATGTGCAAACTCCACATGGAAAGTCGCCCATGGGTGTAATCGAACCCGGGTCCCTGGCGCTGTGAGGCAGCAGCGCTAACCACTGAGCCACGGTGCTGTATGTTCAGAGAAGGGGTTCGAGTCTAATACCCAGAACAGACGGGTTGTTTTAATGAGAAAAAGGTTGGACTGGTTAAGGTGGAAGTTAGAAGAGTGAGGGACAACTTGGTTGAAAGACAAGGTCCTGAGGGGCTTTGAGTAAGTGGATGAGGAAAGGAAGGGGACACTCTAGAACTTGGTGGGGGTTAAAACAGAGATGACGATAACTTTCTCTCTCACAGACGGGTATGAGTCTTCGGAAATCTCTGCCTCTAAAGGTGGTGGAACTTCTGTATGTTTTTGAGGAAGACTTTCTCGATAAGTGAGGGGTTTTGCGTAGGAGGGAGTGTGGAGTGATCAGATAAGCCATAAGCTAATTTGAACGGCGGAGCAGGTTTGAGGGACTGAGTGGCTTAGTCCTGCTCTTAACTCATGAGTTTATATTGGCTTCACATAAACCAGAGGTGGAGAGGAAGTTTGTGTGGAGTGTCAGCACCAGTTCCCCACCCGATGGGTTGAATGGCCTCCTTCTGTGCTACAGCTTCTTTAAAATTCTTTCCTGGGGTGTGCGTGTTACTGGGAAGGCCAACATTTGTTGGTCCTCCTCAATTGCCCCTGAACTTTGCCCTCAAGTGGCTTCTTAGAGTATTTCAGAGGGTTGTTAAAAGTCATCACTGAAGGGGCTGAAGGCCAGACCGGGTAAGGGTGGCACATTTCCTTCCCAAAAGGCTGGGGGCAATTGATGATAGTTTCACAATCACCATTACGGAGAACAGCTTTTTATTCCAGAATTTAAATTCTGTCAGCTAGGATCTGAACCCCAGCGAAACTGGCATTCCCACCCAAAAACGTTTTTCCAAATTAGAATGTGCTTGCCAAATGTAATAATTCTGTCCTAATATAAGATACGCTTTTATAGGTCAGTGCATTAAGCATAGGAGTAGGGTGTCACTTTTGGTCAGGCCACTTTTGAAATACTGCGTTCAGTTCTGGTCTCCCTGCTATAGGAAGGATGTGAAGCTGGAAAGGGTTCAGAAAAGATATACAAGGATGTTGCCAGAGTTGGAAGGTTTGAACTATAGGGAGAGGCTGAATAGACTGGGGCTATTTTCCCTGGCATGTTGGAGACTGAGGGGTGACCTTAGAGGTTTATAAAATCATGAGGGGCATGGATAGGGTGAATAACTGAGGTCTTTTCCCTGGGGTGGGGGAGAGTCCAGAACGAGAGAGGCACAGGTTTAAGGTGAGAGGGGAAAGGATTTAAAAGGGACCTGAGGGGCAACTTTTTCACGCAGAGGGTGGTGCGTGTATGGAATGAGCTGCCAGAGGAAGTGGTGGAGGCTGGTACAATGACAACATTTAAAAGGCATCTGGATGGATATATGAATAGGAAGGGTTTAGAGGGAGATGGACCAAATGCTGGCAAAAGGGACTAGATTAATTTAGGATATCTGGTTCGCATGGACAAGTTGGATTGAAGGGTCTGTCTCCGTGCTGTATGATTGTATGACTCTATATAACATTTTACGTTGCAGCCTACTCCTCACCAGTTTAAGGTGAAAACATTCCAGGTCCCCACAAAATGCATGCGTTGTACATCGCTCATGGTTGGTTTGGTTCGACAAGGTTTCAGCTGTGAAGGTAAGAAAGTAGGAAGACTAGCCCTAATATAGTACTCTCCCCGTCACCAGACACTTCAAAGTGCATAACCCCCAATGAAGCCTTGCAGAAATATTAGTATCATTGATAACTACGGGTGAGGTGGCGGAGGACAGGAGAGTGGCTAATGTTGTGCTGTAGGGATGTAAGGAGAAGCCTGGGAACTGTAGACCTGTGACTCTGACCTCAGTGCTTAGTAAATTGTTGGAGGTGATTCTGAAGGATAGGACTTGCATGTATTTGGAGAGGTGAGGAATGATTAGGGATAGACAGCATGGTTTTGTGTGAGGGAAATCGTGTCTCACAAACTTGATCTGAGTTTTTTGAGGAAGTACAAAGAGGATCGATGAGGGCAGAGCAGTAGATGTTGTTTACCTGGACTTTAGTAAAGCCTTTAACAAGGTTCTGCATGGTAGACGAATCAGTAAAGTTAGGTCACATGGGATTCTGGGAGACATTGCCAATTAGATACTAAATTGGCTCAAAGGTAGGAGACAGAGAGTAATAGTGGAGGGTTGCTTTTCAGACTGGAGGCCTTTGACCACAGGGATCGGTGCTGGGTCCTCCCTTGTTTGTCATTTATATAAACGATTTAGATGAGAATATAGAAGGCATGGTCAGTAAGTTTCCAGGTGACACCAAGATTGGTGGTATAGTGGACGGTGAAGAAGGTTATCTGAGATTACAAAGAGATCTTGATCAATTGCGTCAATGGGCTGAAGAGTGACAGGATGGAGTTTAATTTGGATAAATGCAAGGAATTGCATTTTGGTAAAACAAACAAGGTCAGGACTTATACAATTAATGGTAGGGCCCTGGGCAATGTTGTAGAACAGAGGGACCTAGGGGTTCAGGTACATAATTCTTTGAAGTTTGCGTCACAAATAGACAGGGTAGTTTTGAAGCTATTTAGTATGCTTGCCTTCAATGGTAAGGCCTCTTCTGGAGTACTATGTCCAGTCCTGGTCGCCCAGTTATAGGAAGGATATTATTAAGCTGGAGGGGGTTCAGAGGGATTTACCAGACCGTTGCCAGGAATGGATGGTTTGAGTTATAAAGAGAGGCCGCTGGATAGGCTGGGATTTCTTTCACTGGAGGTTGAGGGGTGACCTTATAGAGGTTTATAAAATCATGAGGGTGATAGATAAGGTGAATCACAGGTGTCTTCTCCCTAGGCTGCGGGATTTCAAGATTGGTGGTGTATTTTTAAGGTGAGAGAAGAGAGAGTTTAAAAAAGACTGCGGTGAGGTGGGGCTGAGGGACATGGGGAGGGGGCTGAGGGATGCAGGGAGAGGGCTGGGGGACACGGGGAAGAGTGTGGGGCCAGGAGACACAGCGAGGGGCAATTTTTTTTTTTTACACAGTGGGTGGTTTGCGTGTGGAATGAACTTCCTGAGGAAGTGGTGGATGTGGGTACAGTTACAATGTTTAAAAGACATTTGGATAAGTACATGGATAGGGAAAGGTTTGTGGGATATGGGCCAAGCGCAGGCAGGTGGGACTAGTTTAGTTTGGGATTATGTTTGGGATGGACTGGTTGGGCCGAAGGGACTGTTTCTGTGCTGTATGACGTTGCTGTGAAGCTTCTTGTTTATGTTAAAGTCACTGTACATTCAGTGCTGTTTGCTATTATTCAGGTTATCATTGGCCCCTTTGATAATCTCTCTCTCTCTCTTTCCCTCTCAATCCCGCAGTGTGTAACTTTGTTTGCCACTCAGCCTGTTCCGTGGAGGCCAACGTCTGTCCAACGCCCCCCCAGCAAATTCGGTCGCTGGGGATCGACCCTGTCAAAGGAACGGGGACGGCGTTTGAGGGCTCAGTGTCGGTAAGTGGGTCACAGCGCCTCGCAATGGAAACAAGACCGGGCCTACAGTAAGGGGGCGTCTGATGGGGGCCTTGTGTTCACTTTGTCCCTGTGTGCAGCTCCATTACATGTATGTGCATGTGTGCGTGCGTGTGTGTGCATGTGCGTGTGTTAGACTATCCCAGCGAGTTTGTGCTGTTCGTCCCCAAGTTATCCCATGGATGGTAGACTGGCATGTTTCCCAGTGAGAGTTGGAGGCTGCCATGTTTGTTTTTTTTTGGGGGTGGGGTGGGGGTGCTGTGGGGTTTGGAGTTGTGGAGAAGACCATCTCTAGCCCCTGTTCCTGACCCTCAGGTCCCGAAGCCGACGGGAGTGAAGAAGGGCTGGCATCGGGCCCACGCTGTGCTTTGCGACTTCAAAATCTTTCTGTACGAGACGACGGAGTCGAGGAGTTCCCAGGCCAGCGCCGCCGTCACTCATGTCTTCGACCTGCGGTGAGTATGTTCCCAGGTCAAAGGTTCCAGTCTCGCTCAGCCCCGCCATCCACTGCACCACCCTAAGAAACCCTCATTTCCCTCCCCCCTCCTGCCCCCACCTTGTCCATCTCCGTCCCCAGGGTCAATGCCTCAAGCCCCTCACTGGGACTGAGAGACTGCGGTGGGGTGGGGCTGAGGGACGCAGGGAGAGGGCCAGGGGGTGGGGGACACTGGGAAGAGCGTGGGGGTCGGTGGGGGGGTGCACAGGGAAGGGCATGGAGGGTGGGGGGAAAGATTGGTGGCCTATTGAACTGAGTGGCCCAATCCAATGGAGAGCTCATCAGCAGTTCAGGATCTCCGGTGTCTGTCTCTCTGTGTATCTCCACCCCGGGTAAAGAGTGTCCCCTTTTGCATTTCAGCGATGAAGAATTCTCCGTGAGCTCGGTCTTCTTTTCTGATGTGATTCATGCGAACAAGAAGGACGTTCCGTGTATATTCAGGGTGAGTGTGACCATCATACAGCCAGATCCCCATAGCCCTTCTCTTCATGAATAACCCTGGACTGTTTCTCCCTCTTCCCCAGCCGCGGGGATACTGGAATGACTCCCGATGAGAGACCCAATGATATAACTCCTTAATCTCGGGGGTCTGGCATCTCCTTTCTGGGCTGAAGGTCGCCAACTCTTCAGGTGGAGACCGCTCAGCCCCTCAAATCTGTTCCATTTAGCTCACAGCTGATCTCTATCCTGACTTGACTTGCCCTGATGTCCTTGCCCAACCACAATCTACCAGCCTTAGTCTGAGAATTTCCAATTTGTCCCTCAGCCTTGACAACATTGTTTTTCTTGTTGTGGGGGGTGGGGTGCACGATTCCAAATGTCCTCCGAGTGGATTTGTGTTTCCCGACAATCACCCTTTCACGGACTGGCTCTAATTTCTGCCCCCCCACCCCCACCCCCTCTGCTGTGTTCTGGAACGCCCCAAGGGAGGAAATAGTTACGCTCTTTTGAATACTCTGCACTTGGCGCCGTCCAAGGCAAAGCAGCCTTGCCCTGATTGGCACAAATATTCAACATTCACTCCGTCCTCCACTGACACTCAGCAGCAGCAATGTGGGGGAGGCAATGGCCTAGTGGCATTATTGCTGGACTGTTAATCCAGAGACCCAGATAACGTTCTCGGGACCTGGGTTCGAATCCTGCCACAGCAGATGATGGAATTTGAATTCAATAAAAGTCTGGAATTAAGAATCCAATGATAACCATGAATCCATCGTTGGAAAAACCCATCTGGTTCACTAATGTCCTTTAGGGAAGGAAACTGCCATCCTTACCTGGTCTGGGCCTACACGTGACTCCAGACCCACAGCAATGTGGTTGACTCTTAACTGCCCTCTGGTCAATTAGGGATGGGCAATAAATGCTGCCTAGCTAGCGACGCCCTCATCCCATGAATGAATAAAGAATGTACCATCTACAGAATACGCTGTGGTAACTCACCATGGCTCCTTTGATAGTACCTTACAAACCCACGACCTCTACCACCACGAAGGACAATGCTAGAAGGTGTACCTTCACCCTGTGAGGTTTTCTTCCAAACCTGGAATTGTGTTCCCATTTCTTCTGTCACTGGATCAAAATCCTGGAATCCAACAAATGAAACTGGACAAACCACCTGACATTGAATAAGGCACTGGAAACGACAAACATAACGCAGCCCTGTCGACTCCACAAAATTCTCTGTACTGATATCTGGGGGATTGTACCGAAACTGGACTAGTCAAGTCACAGAATCACATTGCACACACAATGTGCAGACACCACTTCCACCACCACCATCCCTGGGCACATCCGGCAGGACAAACCCAGTAGAGGTGGGAGAACAGTGGTATACAGTCGGGATGGAGTCCTCAACATTGACCCTATGGAGTCTCATGCCAACGGGTCAAATACAGGCAAGGAGTTTGTCATATACTGTATAAGATCTTATCAAGTAGCTCGGTGGGCTTGATGGGCCTGCTCCCCCTCTGTATTCTTTTCGCAATCTCTGCTTTCTCATAGAGTCATACAGCACGGAAAGACCCTTCGGTCCAACCAGTCTGTGCCGAATATAATCCCAAACTAAACTAGTCCCACCTGCCTGCTCCTCGCCATATCCCTCCAAACATTTCCTATTCATGTACTTATCCAAATGTCTTTTAAACATTGTAACTATACCCACATCCACCACTTCCTCTGGAAGTTCATTCCACACACGAACCACCCTCTTGTGTAAAAAAAAAAAGAAATTTTGTCCCTCATGTCCTTTTTAAAATCTTTCTCTTCTCACCTTAAAAATGTGCTCCCTAGTCTTGAAATGCCCCATCCTGGGGTAAAGACATCTATTAACCTTAGCTATATCCCTTATGGTTTTATAAAACTTTAAAAGGTCACCTTTCAACCTCCTACACTCCAGGGGAAAAAGTCCCCACCTTTCTTTATATCTCAAACCTTCCATACCCAGCAACATTCTGGTAAATCTCTTCTGAACCGTCTCCAGCTCAATACAGGCACTGCCAATTCCATGTGTGATGACTTGGCCCTTCGGTGGTCTCACTAACAACAGTGCTGGTGTTCAGCCCCACATTGAGGACCGCCTCTGGACAGTTCTTTCTCTGCTTGCCCCGACAGATCACGGCTCCTCAATTAACAGTTCCCAGCTCCAAGACCTCGCTCCTGGTGCTGGCTGACAGTGAGAACGAAAAGAAGAAGTGGGTGACGGTGATTAACGAGCTGGTAGCCATCCGCAAGCAAAGCGGCTTCAAAGAACGGTCAGCGGTATGTCTCAAGGAGGTCTACGACAGCGCACTGCCACTAATCTGTAACACGCTGACCGCAGCCATCATAGGTAATGTTTCCAATGCGATTAGCATGTGTTACAAAGGCTCGTGTATACTTAATATTGCTTGGAGGACTTGGGTTTTTGAAGGATTTGAGTGGAAAAATGAATTTATTTCATGTTTGGTGGACGTATCTCGAGAGGTTTGCAGACATTATTAAATGAAGCTTCCTAAAAATCACGCGACTGTTGACAATTGATTACTTTGCTGTAGAACCCGGCTCGTTTTGGTTTTGAACAGTAACTGGGTTCTTATCTGGCTCAGTTGGAGGAAAGCCTACCGTGAACAAGCTGCCCAGTTGATCTCTCCCACTTTGGAAAAGAAAACACTCCAAATCAGTTGACTTGGTCTTCTGAAAGAGTGATTATACAGTCATACAGCTTGGAAACAGACTCCTTAGTCCAACCACTCCATGCCTACCATAATCCTGAACTAAACTCGTCCCATCTGCTTGCATTTGGTCCATATCACTCCAAAACTTTCCTATTCATGTACTTATCCAAGTGTCTTTTAAATTTTGTAACTGTACCTGCATCCACCACTTCCCCTGGAGGTTCATTCCACACACAAAACGCTCTGTATGACAAAATTTGCACCTCATCTTTTTTTAAATCGTTCTTCTCTCACCTTAAAAATATACCTTCTAGTTCTGAACTCCCCCAACTAAGGGAAACGACCTTTGCTTTTCACCTTATCTATGCCCCTCATGATTTTATAAACCTCTGTAAGGTCACCCCTTGACCTCCTACGTTCCAGGGAAAAAAAAAGTTCCAGCCTATCCAACCTCTCGTTATAACTCAAACCCTCCATTCCCGCCAACATCCTGGAAAATCTTTTCTGAACCCTCTCCAGCTTAATAATATCCTTCCTATAACAGGGTGTGCGGAACTAGACAAAACCCTGAAGAAGTTACTCAAAGCTGAGTACGTTCAACTATGTGTATGTCAGCAGTTCCAGTTTAAAAGTTGAAGTCAAGTGACCTAAACCTATCAAGGCAGATACAGCGTGGGATTAGAAACAGAGTAAAGCTCTCTCTACACTGTCCCCATCAAACACTCCCAGGACAGGGACAGCACAGGGTTAGATACAGCGTAAAGCTCCCTCTACACTGTCCCCATCAAACACTCCCAGGACAGGGACAGCACAGGGTTAGATACAGAGTAAAGCTCTCTCTACACTGTCCCCATCAAACACTCCCAGGACAGGGATAGCATGGGGTTAGATAAAGTTCCTATCACCTCACACCATCGGTCAAAATCTTCAGCATTTACTTGTCTCAATATCCCTCTCTCCATCTCAGACAAGGAACGTGTTGCCTTGGGTACTGAGGACGGACTCTACATCATCGATGTGACCAAAAATGGTAAGGATATACTCTGCAAACAAGGCAGTCTCCCCATGCAGCTGTTGTGTGTTCACACCCTAAGGGAAAGCAAGTAGGGAGGAGCAGTGGATACGGTCAGACATTAAGGTTGTGGGACATGGGGACGTCATGAAATTGAGGGGGATTATGAGAGAGAGGCAGAGGGAAATGGGGAAGGGGGATAGAATGAGGTGGAGGTGGAGGGGGAGGAGAGTGATTGAGGGAGACAGGTAGGGATTGAGGCTAATGCTGAGGGGGTGAGACGGCGAGGAGGAAGGATTGTGGGAGACGGCGAGGAGGAAGGATTGTGGGAGACGGCGAGGGGGAGGGGTTGTGGGAGACAGCGAGGAGGAGGGGTTGTGGGAGACGGCGAGGAGGAGGGATTGTGGGAGACGGCGAGGAGG